TATAAGAGAAAGTGGGAAGTAGTCTTCAATGAATGGGCACAGGAGACCCCTTCTTTAATATAACCCTAGTAACACAGACAATAAGAGCAACAATAAATAAATGGGACCTCCTGAAACTGAGAAGCTCCTGTAAAGCAAAGGACTGTCAATAAGACAAAAAGTCGGCCTACTGAATGGGAAAAAATCCTCACCAACCTCACATCAGACAAGAGGCTGATCTCCAAAATATATAAAGAACTCAAGAAATTAGACATTAAAATTCTAAATAACCCAATTGAAAAATGGTATATGGAACTAAACAGAGAATTCTCAACAGAAGAATCTCAAATGGTCAAAAGATACTTAAGGAAATGTTCAACTTACTTAGCAATCAGGGAAATGCAAATCACAGCAACTCTGAGATACCATCTTAGACCTGTCAGAATGGCTAAGATTAAAAACAGTAATGACAGCTTATTATGGAGAGGATGTTGAGTAAAGGGAACACTCATCCATTGCTAGTGAGGATGGAAACTTGAACAACCACTCTTGAAAGCAGTATGGTGGTTTCTCCGAAAATTTGGAGTCAACCTACCTCAGGATCCACCAATACTGATTTTGGGTATATACCAAAAAATACTCAATCATACTACAAAAGCATTTGTTCAACTATGTTCATAGCAGCATTATTTGTAACAGCCAGAGCCTGGAAAAGAAACAACCTAGATGACCTTCAACCGAAGAATGGATAAAGAAAATGTGGCACATTTACACATTAAAGTACTACTCAGTGGTAAAAACAAAAACAACGACACCTTGAATTTTGCATGCAAATGGATGGAATTAGAAAGCACTATCCCCAGTGAGGTAACCCAGACCCAAAAGAATGATTATGGTATGTACTTACTCATAAGTTGATACTAGCTATAAACAAAGGACTTTGAACCTATAGTTCATGACCCTAGAGAAGCTAAGTAATAAGGTGAACTAAAAGAAAAAGATATATAGATCCACCTGGAAATTGGAAACAGACATGATCACTAGACATAATTAGGTGCATGAGGGAGGGAAGCAAGGGAGGGTAGAAGGAAAAAAGGAGGGGACAAGAGGAGGGTTGAGGAGAACTTGAGGGAATGAGATATTTGAGATGGAGAAAGGACAGAAATGAGAGCAAGGAAAGAGATATTGTGATTGAGGGAGCCATTCTAGGGTTATCAGAAACCTGGCTCTCAAGAAATTCCCAGGAATCCACAAGGATGACCCCACCGAAGATCCTAAGCAATAGAAGAGAGGGGGCCCAATCTTGACTTGTCCTATAGCCAGACTGATGATTATCTTAAATATCACCATAGAACCTTCATCTAGCAACTTTTGGGAACAAAGGCAGAGACCCACATTGGAGCAGTGGACTGAGCTCCCAAAGTCCAGTTGAAGAGTGGAAGAAGTGAGAATATGAAAAAAGACGTAAAGACCATGATGGGTACACCCATTGCAACAGTTTACCTGAGCTAATAGGAGTGCATAAACTCCAGCAGGACTGGGAAGGAACAAGCATAGGACCAAACTAGTCCCTCTGAATGTGGTTGACAGTTGCATGACTGGGGCAGACTGAGGGGCCACTGAGAGTGGCACAAGGATTTATCCCAACTGCATGTACTGGCTTTTGGGGATCCTATTCTCTTTGGATGTATACCTTGCTCAGCCTAGATATAGTAAGGAGGGCCTTGGACCTTCCACAAAGCAATGTTCCTTACTCCCTCTGAGGATTAGATGGGGGTGGAGTGGGAGAGTTTATGAAGGGAATGGAAGGAGGGGAGGGAGTAGGAACTTGGACTGGTATTATTTTAAATCTAATATTTTTTAAAAAATAAGCAGGGCAAAAGTTGTTTAGCAAACCTCTATTGTTTTCTATTTCTCTAATTTCCTTCACACATAAGATCCCTACAAGGCTAATATGGAATTGTTCCTCTTCTATGTCATCCCTTTCCAAATGAATTCAGGCAAAATCTTCCAGTACTTTTCAGTTGTCTTCCTCTATTGCTTTTCTTCATCATTGTAGGTCAGTTTCATGACCTTTGAAAATCCCCTTACCCTCCACCTTAGGGATAAACATCCTATGAAAGGCACTGGTGGCAATTCCTTGGTATTCAAAAAAAAAAAAAAAAAAAAAAAACCTTTTCAACATTTTATCACCTAAGTCATCAAACTCTAGCCTGCTGTTCACAGTATGTCATAATCATAACCTTACATCTAGATTTTGTTTTCTGCTTAATCCCCTCCTTAGATCACCTTTCCCACGTCAGGTTGTCTGTGTCACTTACTATTTCAGTTTCACCTTTTGATAGTGTTTCTCAACTCACTTTAAGCTCTGTACTCCAGAGCCTGTGGAAAACATCATCACTATCCCACACATTCCCTGAAGTACACACACACACTGGTTTTTGGTTTGCCTAGAGGTGGTGTGGAAAGACGGTCCAAGAAGGTTTTGTTTCTTTTCCTACAGAAAATTATTCTCATTTTATCTTTTCATTAATTCAACTAACACTTGATATTCAATATTTTCCTCATATTCAGACCTAAATATCCCATTTTCCAGAAATACGTTGCCCTTTTGGTACTCAATATGTCCAACCTAAAATCATCATGTTCTCTGTAGTACTTTATCCTTCTAATTTTCTTTTATCAATAAATGAAACTCTCCCCTAGTCCATCCTCTACAATGGTGCCAGGATGGTTTGTATAATAAAGCAGAATTAAGGAATTAAAGGCACATTGGAGACTTTAGAATTGAGATCTTAGATATATCTACTTCCCCTGTCTGTATATCTACTTCCCCTGTCTGTAATATTCATCCTTTTAAATCCTCATAATCAAGGTCAGAACTAAAGTTAAAGAACCAGTAATGGCTTAAAATCCTTTGCACTTACTTTGTGTAAAAGTGAAACAATCCAGTAAGTATCATTTTATACATTTTATCTTTAGAAATACAACTATGTATTTATAAAACTTTGTTATTGGAAAACTCTCAGGATCTTTGCAAATAGAGATATAACCCATAAATTATAAATCAGTGATCACTGGGTTTAAAAAACAATCATAAGACACAAAATTTCCTTCTTTCCAAGTAGTTATCTATTAATTTATCCAAACATGACAACAGTCATGCCCCCAAATAAGACCCTGCATCCTCCTTATGATAGCATTTTGGAGCAGTGCCATGTCACAGTTCCTTTGCTCCAAACCCTCAATTCCATTTATTAGTCTTTTGAAATATTTTTTGGTCTGTGTATTAGCTACATTTCTATTGCTGTGACAAGAAACTGTGAAAAAGTCAACTTATAATGAAGTTATAGTTATTTGAAATTATGATTTCTGAGAAATAAGAGATCATCACCAACAAAGCATAGCAGCAGGCAGCTAGCAAGGCTGCTGGAGCAGGAAATGGAGAGCTCACACCTTGAACAATATGTGCAAAGCAGAGAGTAAAATTGGGAGTAAGGCAAGGCCTTAAACTTCCAAAGCCCAACCCCCAGTGAGATACTTCCTCCTACAAAGCAGAATCTTCTAAGCTGCACCCCCAAAACAGGGTCTCCAACCAGGAACTAATTGCTCTCAAAGAAATTGTTCACCTTAGCTCCTTGCCAGAGATCTCCTCTGTTTGGTAAAGCACCCCCTTAACAATAAGGTACATTTTTTTTTTTTTTGGTTTTTCAAGACAGGGTTTCTCTGTGGCTTTGGAGCCTGTCCTGGAACTAGCTCTTGTAGACCAGGCTGGTCTCGAACTCACAGAGATCCGCCTGCCTCTGCCTCCCGAGTGCTGGGATTAAAGGCGTGCACCACCACCGCCCGGCCATTTTTTTTAATGTAGATATAAATGAAGAAGGAATTTTTTCTACTGTTGCCCCTAACTTACAATGCCTTGTGTCTATATTTGTTTCTTTAAGATATTATCTTTTTTATGGGCCAGGTCTCCTTCCTTGCTCTAATTCTCATTTAGCTGTAATACATTTCTTTCCTTCTTTTGTACTATCAGGTCTACTTTCATATGCCTTCTTTCTTCACTTCATATTGCATAAGCTTATGTAAATAGTCCTCCTTTAATGTATTTTATTTTATAGATATAACTTTGTTTCCTGATGAGACCTTCGATTGATATAGTCTCAGAACTTCTAGAACTCATGATTCTATTGTGAAAGCATCATAAAGGGAGGGAAGCAAGACATCATCAAAAGCATACTATAGAGTAATGTATGTCATGAAGAAAATGTAAGGCACGGTAAGAGCTGCTGAGGTGGGAGACTTGATAGTTGGCTTTAACAGACTTTAGAAGTGAATTGTACTTAAATGGGTAATGTTTCAACACAGGTCTGAATAAAATGATGAGATCAATTACATGGATAGCTAAAGCACTGAGAGCAGAGGGTATTAAGTGCAACTAGCAAATACTTTGAGGTGAAAAATTACTTGATAGGTTGGAGGAACAGGTAGAAATTTATTGCTGCAGCTTGAATATGAACTTTAGCCCATAGGCTCATGTGCCAAACACCTGTCTCCCAGCTAGTAGCATTTTTCACAGGGGCAGTGGAAGCTTTCAGAGGTTAGTGCTAGGTTCAGGATATAGCTCACTGGGTGTGTGCCATGGATGGTTATACCTAGATTATTGTCTCTTTTCTTTTCTTTCTGCTTCATGCATAGAATGGAATCAATTGTGCTAAGTAATGACTGTAGACATAAATCTCTGGAACTGTGAAAGAAATCCTGTTATTTTCTTAGGTGTTTTTGTCATTGTTATGAAGCCTGATTGAATGTATTTCTTTAATTTATATTTATCCCTTCTAAAACATTTATTTATCATCTGCTATGTTTCAAGAACTGTTCTATGGAGTCAAGATGCCTGCAATAATCTGTCTTCATGGTGTTTAAAGAAATAGTAAGAGCCGTGGAGTGCTGGGAAGTGGCAGCGGTGTCCACAACAGGAGAAGCAGGACTATAGCCACCTGTAGCCTCAACCTCGGAGGAAGATGCTAATTAAAGTGAAGACGATGACTGGAAAGGAAATTGAGATCAACATTGAACCCACAGACAAGGTGGAGCGAATCAAGGAGTGTGTGGAAGAGAAAGAGGGCATCCCCCCACAACAGCAGAGGCTCATCTACAGTGGCAAACTAATGAATGATGAGAAGACAGCAGCTGATTACAAGATCCTAGGTGGTTCAATCCTCCACCTGGTGTTGGCTATTAGAGGAGGAAATGGTCTTGGGCAATGATCAAACTTGGTTCCATTTTACCTCCTTGCCCTGTAGCTCATAATGAAGCATCACATATCCTCTCACACTCTGGGACACCAGAACTTCTGCCCCCTCCCTTGGATGCCTTTTGTGTCTACTGGTGAGAGAATGTGAGGACCCCAAAGTGTAGTGCTTCTGGCCCAAATGACCATTACTTGCTGTTGGGTTTTAGTTTGCAGTTCTGTGTGCTTCCCTCTCTTATGACTATATCCTTGGTTGTCAATAAAATATTTCCTGGCCAAAAAAAAAAAAGTAGTAAAAAAATACTTTCTTTTTTTTTCTTTTTTTCTTTTTTTAAATTTATTTATTTATTAAAGATTTCTGTCTCTTCCCCGCCACCGCCTCCCATTTCTCTCCCCCTAACCCAATTAAGTCCCCCCACCTCAGCCCGAAGAGCAATTAGGGTTCCCTGCCCTGTGGGAAGTCCAAGGAACCCCCACCTCCATCCAGGTCTAGTAAGTTGAGCATTCAAACTGCCTAGGCTCCCACAAAGCCAGTACGTGCAGTAGGATCAGAAACCCATTGCCATTGTTCTTGAGTTCTCAGTAGTCCTCATTGTCTGCTATGTTCAGCGAGACCGGTTTTATCCCAGGCTTTTTCAGACCCAAGCCAGCTGGCCTTGGTGAGTTCCCAATAGAACATCCAGATTGTCTCAGTGTGTGGGTGCACCCCTTGCGGTCCTTAGTTCCTTGCTCGTGCTCTCTCTCCTTCTGCTCCTGATTTGGACCTTGAGATTTCTGTCCGGTGCTCCAATGTGGGTCTCTGTCTCTGTTTCCTTTCATCGCCTGATGAGGGTTAATATTCAGGAAAATGCCTTTATGTTTTTCTTTGGGTTCTCCTTATTTAGCTTCTCTAGGATCCCTAATTATAGGCTCAATGTCCTTTGTTTATGGCTAGAAACCAAATATGAGTGAGTACATCCCATGCTCCTCTTTTTGGGTCTAGCTTACCTCACTCAGGATAGTGTTTTCTATTTCCATCCATTTGCATGCAAAATTCAAGAAGTCATTGTTTTTTACTGCTGAGTAGTACTCTAATATGTATATATTCCATACTTTCTTCATCCATTCTTCCATTGAAGGGCATCTAGGTTGTTTCCAGGTTCTGGCTATTACAAACAATGCTGCTATGAACATCGAAGAGCATATACTTTTGTTATATGATGAGGCCTCTCTTGGGTATATTCCCAAGAGTGGTATTGCTGGGTCCAGGGGTAGGTTGATCCCGAATTTCCTGAGAAACCGCCACACTGATTTCCAAAGTGGTTGCACAAGTTTGCATTCCCACGAGCAATGGATGAGTGTACCCCTTTCTCCACAATCTCTCGAGCAAAGGCTATCATTGGTGTTTTTCATTTTAGCCATTCTGACAGGTGTAAGATGGTATCTTAAAGTTGTCTTGATTTGCATTTCCCTGATCGCTAAGGAAGTTGAGCATGACCTTAAGTGTCTTTTGGCCATTTGAACTTCTTCTGTTGAGAATTCTCTGTTCAGATCAGTGCCCCATTTTATATTTGGGTTGATTAGCCTTTTACGGTCTAGTTTCTTGAGATCTTTATATATTTTGGAGATCAGACCTTTGTCAGTTGCGGGGTTGGTGAAGATCTTCTCCCAGTCACTGGGTTGCCTTTGAGTCTTAGTGACAGTGTCCTTTGCTTTACAGAAGCTTCTCAGTCTCAGGAGGTCCCATTTATTCAATGAGGTCCTTAATGTCTGTGCTGCTGGGGTTATACGTAGGAAGTGGTCTCCTGTGCCCATGTATTGTAGAGTACTTCCCACTTTCTCTTAACCCACAAACCTATGAACACCTGATTTTCGATAAAGGAGCTAAAAGTATACAATGGAAAAAAGAGAGCATCTTCAACAAATTGTGCTGGCAAAACTGGATATCAACCTGTATAAGAATGAAAATAGATCCATATCTATCACCATGCACAAAACTCAAGTCCAAATGGATTAAAAAAATACTTTCTATCATAAGTCATATTCAATTTCTGTTCATTTATCAATTTCTATATACAACACATTATAGACTATTACAATGTTTAAAAACAATTGCCAAAAAGAAATATATGTAAATATTAAATGTTATTTAAATGACCACATTGGAAAAAAATAGAAGACATTGAAAGATGTCTGAGTAATCTAAAATTTTCTGTTTTATAATAAAATACAAGCATAATAAAAGACATGGAACAAAACTCTCAGAAGAAAAGTGTTAAAATTCTATACATATCAGGGCTAGAGAAATAACTCAACAGTTAAGGTATTCAGTTCTTACATGAGGTGGTTCTCAAGCATCTATAAGTTCAACTCCAGGGAATCTGAAACCCTCTTTTGGCCTCAGCAGGCACCCGTACTTCTGTGCATATACCTCCCTTCCCACACACACAATTAAAAAGTTATAATAAAAATACATCTTTTAAAAATCATATTCATATTATTTTATATACAATTATATCAACAGACTAGAAATTGATGGAAAAAAGATGTCAGACATTAGAAGAACTCTTTCACAGTGAAAGTAACAAAGATTGAAAGCCCTTGTGCCCTGATTTAAAGGACAAAGGAAGAGAGAGAAGGAGGGGAGGAAGGGAAGAAAGGGAAGAAAGACACATAAAGAAATAGTTCACCAGGTCATTCATTAAACAATATTTACCCAGTAACTAATATGGGAAGATCACCATAAACAGACTTTGGTGGATTCAACAGATAAATGAGCCGGGTGGTGGGGGTGCACGCCTTTAGTCCCAGCACTCGGGAGGCAGAGACAGGTGAATCTCTGTGAGTTTGAGGCCTGCCTGGTCTACAAGCGCTAGTTCCAGGACAGTCAGGGCTGTTACACAGAGAAATGAAACAAAACAAAATGAGTGAACTACAGACTCAGTCTTTTATGTGCCTACACTTGAGTCACGGGGATCCTTCAAAGTCTTAGAAAGCGTTGACAAATGTAAGAAAAAAAAAACTCAGTCCTTAAAAGGCTCATTCTACACTGCTGAGCTACACATAAACTTTTAGTTAGATAACCTCTATGTTTAAAGGACATTCCATTAATAATGCACTTCAGAGAAGATCAATACATGTACTGAGGATGAAGCTACAGTCAATATCATTCTCTTCAAGAATCACATGCTGTATTCCCATGAGATTATTTTCTATTTCCAATGAATTGTAAGAAGTGTCCAGAAGAGCAAAGTCACCAATGAAGAGTTTCAGAAATGTTTAATCTATCATTTTCATTACATTGATTCTCAAGAACCTTTTTCTACAACATTTGGGAACTGATTACATAGATTGAAACTATGCATTTTCCATAGAGTCTCAATACCATCTGACCAACATCTATGCACAGTGAAGAGCAGTCAATATTTATGAAGAATTTCCAATTAGTCAATTCAATTGAGGATTACAGACAGAAGTAAATACAGTTGCTAAACATTTTTTTGGAGAGATCCACTTTCATAATAAACAAATAGTTCTTTTTGTGGAAATGATAGTGCTTATTCACAGCCTGCCAGTTACTATACCATAGCTATAGATTTTGTTTCTCATCCTATCTAGTTATTTTTCCTCCAAAAATTCATTTCTGGTTTTATTTTATTTAATCTATATATTCAGTGAGGTGGAAGTTTCCAAAGAGTACAGGATAGGCAGAGGAAAAGGTGAAAGTCTAGTAATGGAAAAGCCGGCCTGTGATGAGATTCAAAACATAACACAGAGTGTGAATCAATCATCCAGAGCCCACTGGAAACTGGCTATGGCTTAGACGCTCTGTATTTCTTTATCTTCTATACTCTACTGTCCTTTACAGTGAACCACAGATGTTGTAGCTTTCCATGTGCAACAGCAAACACCATCACAAATCCCTTGAAAAGTCTAGATCTAGTTTTATCATAACCTCTTTGATAAGAAATTGATTGTTTACAACATCTGGGCCTTGTTCTTTAAAGATATGTCTGAAGTTAAAACCCTTTTAAAATGCATTTTAAATGTTCTTTATAAATGAAATCGTATATTTGTAAGTAATATCAAACAGATCAGGTTGCATTTATGTATTTTTGAATATATGCATATATATAAAACAACAGTCAAAGAACTGTAGATCATGAATTTGAGAGAGAACAAGGAAAGGTGCATGGGATGGGTTAGAAGAAAGAAAGGTTGGGGGGAAATGATGTAGGTATATTTTAATTTCAAAAAATATTTTATGAAAATAAATTTAAAACAAAATAAAATGATTTATCTCCATGTGTTGATTCACTGCTCCTCAACTATGACATGCATAATTTAAAAAGTCAAGGTGTACAAACCACAGACAGAGCTCCTGTTTGTGCCTCCACCAAGATTAGAAAACAATAAGATTTCCATTCTTTTTACTAGGTACTAAATAAATAGTTGTGAGTATAGTTTGATGAGTATAGTTTTCTAATAATTTCCTATGCAGCAACTGTATACACAGCAGTTTTCCATTTTCTGTAGACAGTGTTGTTGTGTGACACTACATATATTTTGGGAAATATGAAAAAAAAATGTCTGCTTATTCCAAATAATCAGTGGCATACCGAAGCAATGATATCACCAAAAAGTTCAACTCTGAATGAATGATTATTGTGGTAACTTACAGTAGCTTGAACAAAGGTTACTTACAGGAATATGGATGACTCTAAGGTGGTTGTGTCACCAAAAGCTTACTCATGGACGATAACGATGGAAATCTATAGCCCTAGAGCTTGCTACATGACTTGCCTGCACCTCAACAGGTTGTACCTGACAGCTCTAATGAAAAGTCTCCTCTCCTCAGCAGTTCATACTGTTTGCCTATATTTAGAATAAGTCGTATTTAAAGAAGGTAATTAGGAGTAGGCCTTTCCCTATTCTTTTAAATTGTCTAACTTCAGAATCTTAGTAAGACTCCTTTTGGAACTTCTTGAGCCTTACCAAGCTTCCCTTCAGGGTGGAGCATGTCCATTGGAAGGAAAC